TAACTCAGCACTTTGCACTGCTATTATTTATCTATCTAGCACCTGTCCTAGGTATAAAAATCAGAAGATCAAAAATCTTCACTTAGCTGGGGATAGTGGCACATGCCTGTAAACCCAGAACTCTACGAGGCTAAGGCAGGAGGATCACAAGTGTGAACCCAGGTTGGGCAATTTAGTGACACCCTGTCTCAAAACAAAACAAAAAACAATGAGCATGTACATAGCTTAGCATGAAGATCCTGAGTTCAATCCCCAGAATTGGGAAAGAAAATCGTCCTTTGTCTTCCTCTTCTTCCCCTTCCTCCTCCCTGTTGTATTCCTTCTCCGTCCGTCCCTCCTCTCCTCGGGCTGCAGCAGGTGGGCACCAGGCCAGAAACACAAAGGTTTTGCCACCTGGAAGCCCTAGCACCCAGAGCTGGGGAGGAAGTGAATCTACTTCTCAGACCTGGCAAAGATATTTCCCGATACGGCACACAAGCAAAATGTCCAGGAGTTGGCTATGTCCTGATCCATGTAGAGAGGGAGCATCAAGGGGCTGGGGATTTAGCTCAGCGGCACAGCGCCTGCCTGGCAAGCGTGAGGTCGTGAGTTTGATTCCCAGTACCGGAAAAAAAAAAGGGGGGAGCAACGAATTGGTTGAGCTAGAAATAGGACTTTTAACCCTCCTCCCAGTGCCAATATATTTCTTTCCTTTTTTAAACCATAAACTTTGTAACCCAAAATCATATCTCATTTCAAACAGGCCTGTCTTTAAAATTTTCTCCTGAGATGTTGTGATGTACTAGCTTGGTTTCCCATTTCCTTTTCTCCCTTGATTTTTCTTTCTCTTTTTCTTTTCTTTTTTTTACAAAGATATGGAACACTTCACGAATTTGCATGTCATCCTTGCGCAGGGGCCATGCTGATCTTCTCTGTATCGTTCCAATTTTAGAATATGTGCTGCCGAAGAAGGCACTGATTTTTCTTTTTTTTTTTTTTTTTCCGTCTTTTTCAGACAGGGTCTCACTATGCAGTTCAGGCTGGTCTTGAGCTCACTTTGTAGCCCATGCTGGTCTCGAACTCCCAAGGATCCTCCTGCTTCAGCCTTCCGAGTGCTAGGATCACACCACCATGCCCAGCTTTCACTTGATTTTTCTTACTTTGCAGGGAGGAGGCATTAGAGGTCTCCACGCCACCAAGTTGTGAGAAATTTGAGAGCATATTTTGTTCTGTTGGGAAGGAGAATGGCTTGGTCTTACCAAACACCTGAAGAGATACATGACCCCGGGAATGTTAGGAGTTACTGTCCGGGCAGCCCCTGGACTGAGTACCTTCTGTGGGATGTCTCCAGCACAGGTGGTGCGGAAGCAAGAAGAGCTCTAGCAGCTCTTGCCTTTCTGCTGTCAGTGTTAACACATTTCCTGGTGCCAGGCCCTTCTGCAGGAGACATGGGGATCCTGCTGGAACACACAGGTCTTATTTCTCCTGGAGCTTACTCTCTGTTATGGCTTGTGTCTAGATGTCCCCCCAAAGCCTCACATATGTATAGGTGGGGCTTTTCAAGGGTGGCTGGATCTAGAGTGTATGACACTGGGATTAAGCATGTGATGGTGGGATCAAGGGTGTGTGATTATAAATTAGTCCCCTGATGGCTTTGGCACAGCTCTGGGTATGGATAACAGGAAGGCCCACCCTGGATGGCGTGTAAGGGACAAAAAGCGTTGCTGTTGTCTCCTTTTGCTCGCTGCGTCTTTGCTGCCCACTGTGAACTGCTCTCCTCTATGATGCCGCTCTGCCATGCCACCCTTCCTTGGAACCAGCCCCTCTGCAAACTGTGAGCCAAAATAAACCTTTCCTCCTTTAAATTTTGATATTTTTTTGTCTCAGCAACAAGAAAAGTAACTAAGACACAGTTTTATGAGGCAGTGCACAATACACAATACGTAAAGACTTTAAAAATCATCACTTCTTCTCTCCATGTTCTTCTGGTGCTTGACACATAGCTGGTGCCCAACAACACTGATGGGTAAACTGAATGGATATGAGTAGAGTGGCTGCCGCTCAGAACTGTTTTTGAAGAGAACTGTAGTGGACTGATAACTGGTGGTCAACTCATAACCCCCGGCTGAACTGAAAAAGCGTGGTGCCGGGTGTGGGAGGCCCGCCTGGGGACTGTTGCCAGCAGCATAAGAGGCAGACCTGGAGAGGAAGTGAGGCTATTGGGAGCTGATAGGCTGTTGGGAGCTGGGAGAAGCTGTCAGGAGCTCTTGGTTCTTTTGGAGGAGCTCGCCGTGCTGGCTTTCCTGATGAACTTGGCTGTTTTCATCCTCCAAGGAGCCTGGGACCTTGTTGGCACTGAGAATGGCTTTGGTTCACTTTGTGGGAGCTCTGGTCCTCACTTTGAGCATCGCTTCCTGGCTCTGGAGGGGAAGAAGGTGCACAGCTCAGTCTCCTGAAGAAGCTTGCTGCGCTGGCTTTCCTGATGGGAACTCGGCTGTCTTCACCATTAGAGGAGCTCAGGACCTCACTGTTGCTGAGGATGGCTGTGGTACTTTTCGGGGGAGCTCTGGTTTGTACTTTGCGCATTGCTTCCTGGCTCCAATGTAGATCCCGCCGCCTGCTAGCACAGATCCTTCATCCCACTGGCACAGACTTCCTAGATCCCACCACTGACCTTTGGGCCTTCCCAGCACAGATCCGTGAAACAGGCCTGCATGAGATATTGCTATGGGCTCTGGGCCTCCAGTTGGACTCATGGAAGGCATTGTTATGAGCTCTAGGTCTTCAGCTGGCCTCCTGCAGGACATTGCTGTGGGATCCAGGCATTCAGCTAGATTCCTTGATCTTAGTGTGTGGACAGACTTCCTGAACTCTCTTGTATATCATTCTTTGGGTGACTATTATAAATAATCATATAAAATGTGTGTCCTGTATTATATTGTTCTCCTTGCAAAATATCCCCCAAACCAACACAATAACTAATGAAAATTTATGTTGGTTATTACTTATGAAAACCTCATTTAGTTCACTGCATCTTTTTTTTGTTTTGTTTTGTTTTTAATTTGGTACTGGGAATCAAACTCAGGACCTTGCAATTGCCAGGCAGGTGCTTGCACCACTGAGCTAGATCCCTGGCCCTTAGTTCACTGCATTGAAAACCGATGTTACCAGATAATATTTTATTTACTTTGATTCACCTATGGAACAGACTTGATATGTTGAGAAACTTAACCTTGGCTTACTGTTCTTTTTTCTTCTGTGTTCCAGTTAAAGCCGTAACTATATTTGGAAAAGCACTGGCCAGGAAAAAAAAATGATAAAATTCTTCCTTATGGTGAATAAACAAGGACAAACCCGACTTTCTAAGTACTATGAACATGTGGACATTAATAAGCGCACACTGCTGGAAACAGAGGTCATAAAGACGTGTCTCTCTCGATCCAGTGAGCAAGTAAGTTTCCGATGTTCCCTTTATCTCTGCAGTAGCTCAGCCTCGGCAGGTTACTACTGAGTCCCAAGGGCCATCACTTTCTCTGAACTATCTTCCTTCAGCAGTTATTAGGGAAAATAAGCAATGAAAACCAAAGGAAGCATAGCTTTCTTTACATCCCCAGAAGAGAATAAGAACAAGAAAAGCAGAAGAAGTCTTGGGATCTTGCTTAAGTCAGTATATTTGTCTCTGCACACCGTAGAAGTGGTAGCTAAATTTACTCCTGCTAGTAAACATCATCTTTTTTTGTTCATATGAATCCAGCCCTTGGAACTCCTAGGAGTGCCTGTAGCAGGTGGCTTTCTGTAAGCCAAAAATTGAAGGTCAAATGACTGGTTTGAAGGTGAACACTCAAGGATAATAATATCATTTGTGCCGGAGGATAATAATATGATTCCTATTTGGGAGTACTATTTTTTCTTGATTATCATTTTTGTAAATATACACTGATATAGTGCTAGAACTAGGGATTTGAAAACAAAGCAAACTTGATATTAATTTGTTTTATCTTATCATGTAGATGAGGAAAAGTGGAAGTTATCTTAGATTCTATTTTTTTTTTTTTTGGTGTTTCCCCCCCCCAGTACGGGGACTCGAACTCATGACCTCACACTTGCTAGGCAGGCGCTGTGCCACTGAGCTAAATCCCCAGCCCTGAAAAGCAGAAGTTAAAAAGTGATATAAAACAACAAATCTGTCCATCCCGCCAGCATTTCTTTTTTCATTTGCGACTCTAGGTATTGAACTCAGGGCCCTGAGTATAGTAGGCAAGCTCTCCGCCGCTAAGCTACATCCCCAGCCTCCTCCTTCCAAAATCTGAAGGTTAAATAAAATCATTAAAATAATAAATAGAATTTTTAAGGGTGTTGATTTGGGCATCAAACTAAAAGCCTTGCACACACTAAATACACTAAATACCACCACTGCTCTACCCTAGCCATAAGTAGTATTTCTTAAGCTGAACAATTTTTTACGAAGAACTTTAGAGAATTGTTTAATCCAGGTCTTACATGTCAAATCTGTTGGAGCTGAACAACTGAAGCAGCATCTGCAGTCCTGTTTCAATCACCCATTAGTGCCTGGAGTTCCCCATTTCCCTGCACGTGTAGAAAGGCTGCCCATGGGAACCACTGCCAAGTCAGAAGCTATTAAACTACGTCAGAGTTCTGAAGTTACACGGTGCAAATGTGTTTCCCTTGGCTTTTAAAATTAGGAGGATCACTGCCAGTTCAAGGCCAGCCTGGGCTATATAGGGAGTTCAAGGCCATCCCAAATGACATAGCAAGACCCTGTCTCAAAAAAAAAAAAATTTTTTTTTTGTTTTTTGGTTTTTTTGAGACAGGGTCTCGCTATGCAGTTCAGGCTGGCCTTGAGCTCCCTTTGTAGCCCAGGCTGGCCTCAAACTCGCAACGATCCTCCTGCCTCAGCCTTCCAAGTGCTGGAATTTCAGGCATGTGCCACCATGTCCTGCCCTTATTTGACATTTTAAAAGAAACCCACTGGTCCTTTGGCATAATCAGGTGCTAAATTATTATATTAGCTTAGTGTTTATTTTATCCAGGAGGGTGCTTTGATGCTCTTAGCATCAAAAACTCCTAAAAGACTTTGAAAAATGTCCCTCAGCTGGGTGCAGTGGCACACACCTTTAATACCATCCCTGAGGGGCAGGAGGGTCACAAATTTGTCATACCTGGGCAACTTAGCAAAGCCCTGTGGCAGAATTTTAGGCAACTAGGTTCAATCTCCAGTACTGGGCGGAGGAGAGGGAGGAAAATGTCTCGCAGTTCTTTCAAGTGAGTTGCATTTCCTTGAAAAACCCAACTGAACAGAAACCACATTGGTCCTACCCTGAGCCACAAGCTGCAGAGCGGTCTTATACTTACCCTCTTTGTTCTAAATTTACATACAAGCCTCACATCCCTCCACTTTCTATTGTCAGATGGCTTTCCTGTGGAGGGATTTCCATAATGAAGATTCACAGCTTCAACTGGACATGATAACACACATCTGTAGTCTGCATTCTGGCAGGCTGAGCCAGGACGATCATGAGTTTGAGCCGAGCCTGGGCAACTTAGTGGGACTCTGTTCAAGAATAAAAAATAAGCCGGGCGTGGTGGCGCACGCCAGTAATCCCAGCACTCAGGAGGCTGAGGCAGGAGGATCATTGTGAGTTCGAGAGCAGCCTGGGCTACAAAGTGAGCTCAAGGCCAGCCTGAACTGCATAGTGGGAACCTTTCTCAAAAAGATAAAAAATAAAATAAAATAAATAAAAAATAAAAGGGCTAGGGCTATAGCTCAGTGTGAAGGCCTTGGGTTCAACCCTCAGCACCAAGAAAATAAAACAAAAAACTTGCAGCTGCAGTGGCAGGCGTGTCCAGGCATCCACAGTAACCTCTCACAGTACAAAAGGCCATAAAGCTTACGCTCAGTCACATTCAGTCAGCACTCCCTGACGGGGTCCAGAGGAAGACCAACCCAGGCCTCAGCCTCCTGCCTGACTCCCGGTGCTCACACACAGCCCTGCGTGTCGTGGCTGTAGGAGAGAGGCCACTGAGAAGGGAGCTCTTTCATCCACAACCCGGCGTTGTAAGCTAGTTATTAATTCACATGAAGCAGTGTTGACAGTGGGAGATTTTGTCTCGCATCCACCATGCTAAGGCCATCTTTTTTTTTTTTTTTTTTTTTTTTTTTTGAGATGGGATCTCACTGTGCAGTTCAGGCTGGCCTTGAGCTCACTTTGTAGCCCAGGCTGGTCTCGAACTCCCAATGATCCTCCTGTCTCAGCCTCCCGAGTGCTGGGTTTACAGGTGTGTGCCACCACGCCCAGCAGTAAAGGCCACCTTTAAATAATTATAATGCTTTTTTTTTTTTTTTCCCAGTTTTCTGTTTTTTTCTGGTACTGGGAATCGAACTCATAACCTTGCACTTGCCAGGCAGGCGCTGTGCCACTGAGCTAAATCCCCAGCCCCTCATCTTTAAATAATTTACAGAAGAATCTTCATTGATTCTTATCATGTGTCTAGGAAAAAGAAATAATACATATTTATATATACACACACACGTCTCACACACACACAGCGCTGCTTTTACTGTATCTGTCTTCTCGGTGACTGTTAAATAGCACACAGCTGAGCGTATCAAGTTGTTTCCCAAGAAGCCATGGGCCGGTGAAAGAGAATTTTTATAACATTCGTGCATCTTCACATCAGAGGTGGTCTGAACGCCGGCTGTTCAGTAGCTTTGCCTGCTGGGTTAGTTACACACAGAGCCGAGAGACGGATGGAAGGAGGACAGGTGGGAAGGCACGGGCTTGCTCTGACTGTTCCCCAGACCACTTCTCCACGCCCCGCCCCCCGTGCTCCCAGGGGGCCCCCCAGTGCTGTGAGAAGGCCACCAAAGGTCGCGTAACGTTCCGTTGTTCTAGATTTCTAGGACAGTGTGGCAGACGCTCAAGCCAGAAGCTAGAAATTCTGTGCGCCACTGTAAAGAAGTCTCTTGTCCCGAAGGACGTTAATACCTGTCTGTGTTTCTCCAGTGCTCTTTCGTCGAGTATAAGGATTTTAAACTGATCTACCGGCAGTATGCAGCCCTCTTCATTGTGGTTGGCGTTAATGACGCTGAGGTGAGATTCTAGCAGGGTGCATAGAGAATATAAGGAAATTGGGGACCGCTCTGATTTTTATTCCTGCTACATATCTCCCTGAGAATTGCTGTGGCTTTTTTTCAGTACTGAGGATTCAACCTAGGGGCTGACATGTGGCATCTCAAGCCTTTTTGCTTTCTCTTTTTTGGGGTCTTGCTGTGTTGCCCAGACTCCTGAGTGGCTGAGATTACAGACCTGTGGAACCACACCCAGCTGATTTTTTTTTATTGAACTGTATATAGTTTCTGCTGGCCTTGAACACTCCGTGTAACCCAGGCTTGCCTCAAATTTGTGGCAATTCTCTTACCTCAGTGTCTTGGTTACTTTTCTCTCATTGCTGGGACAAAATATCTGACCCCCATAATTTAGGAAGGAAAGGTTTATTTAGCTCACAGTTTGTGGAGGTTTCGGTCCATACTTGGCAGGTTACAAGGCAGAGTGGCACATGGCAGAGGGCTACAGCTCATGGCAGCAGAACACAGCAAAAGCAACAAGCACAAAAGAGAGGAATGGCGGCAAGCAGCCTCTTCCTCTCCCTTACATATGCAAACTATCCACCCCAGGGCGGGTGTAGCTCTCACACCCATAATCAATCAAACTCTAAAAGCCTGCCCCGTGACTGCATGAGGCTTTGGGGAGACACCTAGACACAAACCATAACACTCAGCCTCCCAAGTGCTGGGATTATAGGCACACATCACAACACCTGGTTGATTTTTTTGTTTTTATAAACTGGGTCTCACTGTGTTGCCCAGGTTGGTCTCAAACTCATGGACTCGACTGCTCACCTTCGCCTCCTGAGTAGTGGGAGGGCAGACGCGCTCTACCGCACCCATCTAGAGTGTGTTCTTTTATCCTCAGCCATTCTGCTGTCCTGCCCTTGTTCACACAATGGGGGCAGCTGAGGTGAGAGGAGAGGTCAGTCATCACATTAAACATGGACTGACATAGTAAAAGTGAGAGTAAAGTGTAAATATGATGATGTTATATTTGCATCTCTTGAAAGATTGGTCCCAGATCAAAGGCATGTGCGGTCCCTGAAGGGTGTTTCAGATCTAAAACACCAAACTCTCTGGAGATGGTTTTTATCCATGAACCACTTTGTGGTTTTCCTGTCTTCCTAGGCAGAGAAACAGTGGAATGAAGAACCTGAAAAATTGCTTAAGCCAGTTAGTGATAAAGTTAAAAAGTAGGGTTTAGAACTCTACCCACCAGATCCTGAAGTTTCACTTTGGTCGGATTCATTATGGTGTAAACTCAAAGATAGTCTTAGAGGTAAAGGTCTTCTGCACTGTATTTCCTCCATTAATAAGCACCTTCTGCCTTCCCTCCATGCTGGGAATCAAACCCTAGGCCTCAAGCATGCCAGGGGAGCGCTGAATCGGAGAGATACACCCCCATCCCCCCCCCAAGCCCTGCACCTTTTTTTTTGGTAGTGGAGGTTGAACCTAGTGCCTCTGCCATGAGCTACATCTCCACACCCTTCTAAAAAATTTTTCAGACAAGGTCTTGTTCAAACTTGTGATGCTCCTACCTCATCCTCCCAGAATGCTGGGATTACTGGCATGCCCCACCACATCCAGACTTCTTTTCAATTTTATTTTGAGACAAGGTCCAATAAGTTACTAAATTGCTCAGGCTGGGCTTGAACTTGTGATCCTCACGCCTCAGCCCTTCAAGCAACTGGGAT